GGCGCGCGCGCGCGCGGGGGAATCCCTCCCGGGCGCTGACGTCACCGCAGCGCCGGCCAATGAGAAGCCGGAGCGGGGGATTCCCGCTCCAGAGGCCGCCCTGCAGGCTTTTTAAATGGTACCCTGGGGAACACACTCTGGGAGCGGTGGGAGGAATTGGGGGAAAAGGTGGTGAAATATGATGGTCCTGGGGGGGCGAGACTCTAGGGGTGTGACGATTAGGCGTCAAGACTGGTTTAGATCTGGGGGGAAAGGCTAGACTCCAGGTGGGACAAAGTCAGCCGGAGATGGAGTGGAAACTGGAGCGCACAGTCCTGCGGAGGGTCCGGACCGAAGAGGAGATGCTGTGGGTGAGTGACACCCTTTTCTTAGCCCCAACTCTCTAGAGGGCATCTTGCGAAGGCGCTGTTTATAATACCTGTTTAGGACCAGGAGATGGTACAAAACTCAACACCCTGGTCTTAATTTTGAGTTGTGCAATTTAGTTATATTCTAGAGGTACCTGGTTGCTTAAAAAAAGTGAATGTTGTTTGACAAGCTCAAGGTCTAGAAAAACTCCACCCTAACATTATGATTTTCCTAAATGGTTTCCCTCTCAATATGTTATCTGTGTTTCCGAAGGAGAATGTCATGCGGGTGCTCGCCAAAGACATGAAGCAGAAGAAAAGCCAAGGTCCCCCCAAGGTGAGTGTGCAGTGCTTGTTCTTGTTCTCTTTCTTAATTCTGATTTTGAACAAACCAATTCTTGCTAAAGAAGGTATTTGTAGGAAGTATGGGCTAGTCTGAAAATATGACAATTAAAAAATCAATCTCCGTCACTAAATACAGAATCTAATTACATACTTAAAAAATTCTTTAAGAAACTGAAGATCCCTGACAAATAAAGGTAATCGTTTGTATGTGGCTAATACTTCGTGGTTTTTGCCTCAACAGCAAAGGATGAAGCTTGAATGAGTCAGGCAGGCAGTGCATTGCTAGCTGGCTGTTGCAATTTCGTCTAACAGTTGCTAGTTGCACTCCCCTCTGTTGCATTCAGAAGCATGCCCCCCGAAGGAATGGAAATGGTGCCATCTTGTGGACAATGTGGAGAAGTGGCATAACCCACGACTCTTAGGTTAGCAATTTCAAATTGATCCAATGTAGTGCACTTTTTCTCCTTGAAAGGCCGAACCAGAAGTTCATTAGTTTCTCTTGCAATCACTGTAAAACTAAAACATAAATGATTTTCTTTTCTTATTTTTCTCCACATAAACAGCCCTCATATGCTTTAAGTCTGCCATCACCATTTACCATGGTTCTCTCTAGGCTAAACTGTTCACCTTCCTTTAACTTTTACTCATAAATTCTTGCTTCAAATCCATCACTATTTTCATAGATTTTTCTAGATATTCTATGAGTTTTTCCGTATTCAAGTGGTAGCACCCTAAATTGAACACATAACTGCGCTTTCAGAATGCAATGACTAAAGACATTTATAGGGGGAGAAAACTAATGACAGTTAAGCTCTTTAATTCCTTAAATACTTTAATATTGTTTTTTCCCCCCAAATATTGCTGCAGTTTTGTCTAATGCTCTGCCCATGTGTTATTATGACTCCTGGATATTTTACTACCTAAAACAGACAACTGGTCTTTTGGTTAGTAAATAGAAGTTATTTGAAAGCTATAGTTAAGTAACTTCGTTAATTCATTTGTACTGCAATTACGTAAGTTCATTATGTAAACTTTTAATTTGGAAAAACTAAGTGTAGGTATTTTGAAAGTTTTTCTTTTTTTTTTTTTTTTACTGGACCATTTTCCTACTTGAGATTATCTGTAGATGATCCAGTTAGGTCAATAGATTTTCGTCTGATTTGGCAGCATACTGCTACTGGCTTTTCATAATTCAGAAACAGCATATACTTCCACATTTTTATATATCTTGTCAAAATAGTATATTTGTAATAAAAATAAAGAGTATATATGGTATGCTTTTTGCTCTAGATTTTTCTCTTTGGTTATCTTTATGATAGCCTGATCAAGTCAAATTTTTAAGAATTTTTCTTTTTTTTTTTTTTTTTTTTTTTTTTGGTGGCTGGCCCCAGTACCGGGGTCTGAACCTGTAACCTTGGGGTTGTAAAGCTGTGCTCTAACCAACTTAATTTTTAAGTATTTTGGGGTGCTGGAGTCATCTCATATTGTTTGTGAGAACCAATTGTTAAACTTTCAGAAAATTTGCAAGCTAGTTATTAAAACATTGGTAGATTGAAATTGGCCATACAGGAGGAGCATTTACACCACGGAAACTGGCAGATCATTTACACCACGGAAACTGGCAGATGCTGCAAGGCAGGATTCCTCCTCCAGAGTCTGTTGTTAAACATTTACCATCCATTAATATATACATGCTATGTATACTACAATTATTGTTATTATTATTATTATTATTTTTGGTGGCTGGTGTGTACCAGCAACCAAACCTTTGACCTTGGTGTTACAAGGCTGTGCTCTAACCAACTGAACTAACCAGCTAGCCCCTCCCCCATACTACAGTGATTACGAATTATATATGTACATATATACATACTTTAGATACACTATAATTATTAAGCATTTTAAAAAATGAAGTACAACTTTAGGGTATATTTTAGGCAAATTTATATTTATTCCAATCCCCAACATTGTATTGCTACAGCTGCCATGAGACGAAGACCAGGAGTTAATATGAAGTATTCCTCTCCATCCCCCAAACAAAACAAACCAAAGAAAACTTAAAGTCAATAACTTATTTGCCACAGTTAAAATGCACTTGATTTCACCCCTTTCCTCTGTCAGGAGGACAGCAGCTGAATACCCTTTCCTGTGATGCCTGATAGTTTTCTGTTATGCTCCTTAGTTCAGGCATCCTGTAGCAGTCTATGGCCCAGACTTTTTGATGCTGAGACAAGATTCAAGAAAGATTGCCCGATTCAAGAAAGATGCAACCCTCTCTCAGTGTGTGTTTGTCCAGACATATTCATATGAGACTTTTGAGTTATGGGTAGCAGCACGTCAGCAAACACCTTCTCTCAGCACACATAGTCTAATTGTTACGGAACCCTGAGTGGACGGACATGTTTCCTTTCTTTCAAGGCAATACATATAGCATACTTTCAAATCCCTGCTTGTCTGCTCTGAGTACCCAAAGGGCAAAGGGAGAGAATCAAGCACCGACTGTGGAAGAGAATGTAGCTTGAATAAGGTAACCAGAGTTAGAGATATATAGGTGAAGGGACCCACTTTCTCCGGCTTTGGAGAGAACTAGTGACCTATGGCAGGATGGACATCTGAATCACGTTCATCAGGACAGTCCTGGTCGTCCTCCAGCATAGCTCCATCACCATTCATCTGGCAGTGGGGTGTCTACATTGCCTGTGTGGTGCTGTTATATATACAGTTCTGCTCACACCCCTAATGTAAGACATAGTACACCCAGCAGTGCCACAGCACTATTAGCAGCTCACAGAAGTCATTAAGTCATAAGTGGGGTACCACTTGGAACAGTTGCTTTGAACAAAATTTTGCTTAGAGGCTCAGAATTCAAATTGCTAAAAGGCTCTTGGGGCAAAATTGCAAAGGACAGACTTGTTAGGTGGGTTCTGTTTCTTTGCCAACAATCCAGGTTAGTTCTGATTTCTGGTCAGTTAAAACACCTTGGTAAGAATATTCACTGACTTTTAGAATTGGAAGGGGCTTTTTGTTCCTTTTGACCCCTGGTCAATGTACAGGTGAGGAAACCAAAGTTAAAATAGATAAGTGACTTGCCCAAAGTCATGCAGCTGGTGAGAGGTAGAAGCAGGTTTGCTGACACACTAATATGGCATTCTCGAGGCTGTCTCTGTAAATCCTCTTGACCTCTGATGGAAACTACACCTTGATCTCCAAATATCTTATTAAGCACATTCATAGCTGGGGGGTTGGATTTATACTTTGAAGCAGAAGGTGCTCTAGGAAATATTTTTGTTTCTCTAAGAACTTTAGTCCAAACACTTATCAAGAACTATACAGTGGTGGCATTACTGAATTCACTATAAAAAGCATATTCACTTACATCCATTAGGTCAGAATTTGGGAGTCAAGTCATAGGTTATTTAAATTGGATCTTCTTCCTTTTTAGCCAAATTTTACAGGAATCTTTTCCCTTTTTTTTTTTTTTTTTTTTTTTTTTTTCTAGTCTTTCTCTTTAATTCTTTTGTGCAATGAACATGTAATTTATGGGGCAATAATTAACTTACACCAAACTGGCAATTATTATTTTGTTAGTCAATAATTATAAGGCAGGCAAAACAGAAAGGTTATGACTTTGAGAGAAAAAGTATATTTTGACCCTACCAAAAAGTGCAGTGATTGCTGATCTGCATTTTAGGACTTGTATGATTGCAATCACCTCCTTTTTAAAATTAGCATTTTGAGTGTTTGGAGTTGATTTTTACGACTTTAGCTATCAGAATGGTGCAGCACTGAATGCTTTCCAGATGGCTAATCTTGTCTGAATACATTAGCAACCAAAACCAACTGATAAGAAACCAAGCTAAATGATCATATACACATGTTCTTTTTCCTACACTTGGGATAAAGACTGACTCTACTGTTAATATTCCATTTATGGAATTCAAGTTGCTTCTAGAAAATAATGGGGAGAAAAATATTGAAAATAATAAAGTCTTTTTCAAATGTTATGGTAGTATCATTTATAAATGACTACTTGACTAGGTATAGTAAAAAAACACTAAGAACCTGTACTTAAAAACAAAATCCTGTACGTGAAACAAACATATATAAAGATTTGAATCTATGTATATATATTTTACATTTTTCAACATTTATTTTGTGTTTTATTACATCAACATAGCCATTTACAGTTGGTTACTCCAAAAATTTCAGTCACACAGAGTATTCTCGAATCCAAACAGTGGTCTAGTGTGTTGGCATCTTCATCAAGTACAATCCTAGAAAATGTCAAGTGGAACAATAGAATATTATAGCACAGTGGTGACTGTATTCTGAATTTTTTTAGTATGTGTCAGATGAAGTACTTAATATATTTCATTTTGATTCAATGGTTACTCTTTATTTTTGCTTTGAGTAACATCTCTAACCACTGACTAGCAAGATAACCTGAAAACAGAACTCATCCTTCAGTGCCACATTTAATTGTCAGAGTGTTTAAAATGAGACCAAACCGTCATGGAGACAGTTCTCTGTTCTGACTATTGCATTAGAATGGCTCAATGCCATTTTCATAAATCCTCTTTCTTTTTTATGATCATTTGTCTAACCAGAGCTGCTATGTCAGGCCTGATGACTTCAATGGGCTCCTCTGGCCTCCAGAACTTCACAAGTTGACCCTCAGGGTTGACAAGATACTTCCAAAAATTCCACCTTGGTTCTTTCTTTGAAGAATCTAAAATATCCAGAACATATTTTTATGAGCATAATTTTATCCTTTGTCAAAATTTTCATTTCTATTGGTATCTGCATAAGTGACAACTTTAGAATCAGGATTGTCATAATATAAAAAGCAAAACAAAATAAAACAAACCAAACCAAAACAGCCAGAGTAAAACTGAAGAGTTGAGTAACCAGATTTCAATATACTCGATGACTTCCCTGATGACTCTACTAATCAAGAATCACAAAATGAAACAAAGTTGTTTATTTTAGATT